TATATTAACCATTTATGTCTACTTCTACTGGTCTGACTTTTCAACATAGGCTATATTTATTGTAGTTTATATCATTATTCAATTTTCTACGACATGCTGTGATATTTTCTACTGTTTTTTGTTGATAACTATAGAATTTACGAATGATCTAAACTTCAAACTGTTCACATAGCTCTCATGTAAATGTCATCTACAGATGGAGCATGCCTGTCTGCTGTGAGTGCGTGTTGCGTGTGAGTGCATGAACTTATTCGCCACATGCGAATAATCTCAGCTTTCTTGAGTCATGAATGACGTCGTGAATTCATGAGCGAGGGCTGCCGCTGCTCCAGACTCATGACGTTAGCGACCTCGTGCATGTATATTTATTCTTTTTAAAGACCTCATATAAAACTAAAAATAATACCAAACATCGTAATAAAGTTGAAATAGTACGCAACAGAAATAAAATAACGTATAGTTATTAATCCTGACACATGTTGCGTACAGGGAAAATTCACACGCGATATTATGTTAATTGATATAGCTACCCATACTTATACGACTGACGTTGAAAGGTCTTTAAGAATATTAGTTGTATATTAAATAAAACTTTTTTCTCCCAAGTTTGCCCAAGTCAATTCTAATATTTATTTATAATTTTCTAATTTTTAGATGGGAATAATTCAATAAATGAGTTTTGAATATTATTCACGAACATATACACATCATTGAATCGAAATTTAATATGGTGGCACAGCACACTCTCCGTAGTTGTGAATTTATATTAGTAAATAGTTAAATTTTAGAACTAAATAAGATAGTAAATAAATTGTATATATCTGGGCGCAGTTAGTATACATTGTTGTCTAATTTCATTTATTAGGGCTGGATTATAAGTGGAGTATTAATCGTTCAAGTCTCGCGTGTTGGAACATATGATATAACCGAGAATAAATGCAATGTTATTTCTTTATCCCTTCAACTACCAGGTGTACCATACTTTCACACTTGCTCTGTAGTATTATTTTTATGATAAGGAATTGGCGCTACTTGCTTAGAACGTGTTCGGTAAGCGTCCCTGCTTCGTTTCGGTGGTGCAACTCTACTCTTTGCCGCCAACTACAAAGTACAGCGCTGATCTTATTGGAACTCCGTGGTGCCATTCACTTGTTGAACTTTCTCAATCTTTATTGGACTATGGTGGGAAAATCAGATAAGCTACAGCCTTGAAAAAATTCTAAATTGTTTCTAGTGCAATAGCGAGTGCACATGCAAAAATTTGAACCTAAAATGAAAATTACATGCATATATCACATTGTGTTTCTAAAGGCGACCATTAAGTACAGTTGGACTTACAACTGCATAATTTGAAACGCGACCGCTGGGCGCTGAGTCATGTTGGTCCTAAGACCATGCGAGAGGGGAATTATGATGTAAAATAATTATTCATTACGTTAATTATTCATTTCATTATTACGTATTCTATAACTTAGTGCCCTTCTACAATATTTTTCTCACTACTAGTGAGAAACACTTATTCAGTTTACCTACTTTCACTATTATTCACTATTCACAGGCGTATTAGTTTCACTAATACGCCTGAAACCAGTTCTGAAAGCAAATCTGAAGAAGAAAATGAATCAATCATCATTGAAATTACCAGAATAGAAGGTGGTGACCTGTCCTCCTGTCTGGACCCTGGTCTCTCAACCTGGACCCTGACCTCTCAACCTGGACCTTTGCCTCTTAATCTCGACCCTGGTTGGCCTCTCAGTTTGAACCCTGGCCTCTCAGTCTGGACCCTGGCCTCTCAATCTGGACCGCGACCCCTCAACTTGGTCCCTGTCCTCTCAACGTAGTCCTTTGCTCCTCAACGGTCAATCTGGACTTTGGTCTCTCAGCCTCCACCATAGCCTTTCAAAATGGATCCCGGCCTGTCAGCCCGGACCCTGGCGTCTCAACCTGGGCCCTTGCTTCTATGCTTGGATTTTGGACTCTCAGCCTCCACCCTAGCCTCTCAAAATGGATCCCGGGTTGTCAGCCAGGACCCTGGCCTCTCAACCTGGACCCTGGCATCTCTATCTCGGCCTTAGTCTCTCAATCTCGACCTTGGCCTCTTAATCTCGACCCTGGCCTCTCAAGCTGGACTTTGGTCTCTCAGCCTCCGCCCTAGCCTCTCAAAATGGACCCCGGCCTTTCAGCCTGGACTCGGGCCTCTCAGCCTTAACCCTGGCCTCTCAACCTGGACCCAGTCCTCTCCGCCAGGATATGGCCTCACAACATTGCCCTTGGCGTCTTTGGCCCAACATCAAAGATGATGGAAAACACGAAATATATTTGAAAATTTTAATCTCGAATAAGGCATTTTTGCTAAAATACTGGAGTTTCTTGGAAGTTTCTCGGACTATATTCTCGGACTATATCTCGGAATTGTTGCTAGCAAAAGTATTGTATAAAATGACAATTAACGAGGTATGCCAGCTGAATAATATCATCCATATTTTGCGCTCAAAAGACTAAATGGATCATATCATCGACATATGGTCGCGTTTAATGTTGGGGTCTCGTAAGACCAAGTGGACTGAAATGTCGCCTTAAAATTTTTTAATGTACGTTTTTCCATACTCATTTATGCACTACATAGTGACCGCTTTCACTAGAAATTATAAGAAAAAAAATTTTTACGAGCTTGACAGGCTGGTTGACTGGGCTGATAAGTGGCAGCTGCGTTTTAGCGCTGACAAATGTAAAGTTATCCACCTTGACAAGAATAATGAACAGCAAGATTACAGTATGAGAAGACACGGTTGCAACGACAGAGTGATGATGTCGAAGTCGACAACGGAAAAGGATTTAGGAGTTAATATCTCTAAGGAAAGATCGGGTTCCAAAGGCCGGATCCCTTGTCAATCAAGTCACGAAAAGTTCAAGAATCGGCAACAGGCCATGGGCCTATTTCTTCAACGCCGACAATTCTATTCTATTCTATTCTAAAAAAATTTGGTTCTTAAAAGGTAAAGAATGAAAACGTTTTGGAGAATCCTAGCCAAGCGAGTAGACAATAAAAGTTTATCCTGACAAGATGGTGTCATCCTAATTCAAGTTATTTCATTTGTTTCCAAACCACTGGCAATAAAATTAAGCTACTACTTGGGCGGGACTTTTAAAATTAAATGATTCTCTCGCAACACAGTGGAAAATGGCTGTCTGTCATTATGCTACCTTTGTGTCCGTGCTTGATTTGTGCTGCGTGCAGTCAGGCACATAAATACTTTAGCCAAAGCCTTGCATTTTGCAAGCATGAAACCAATAAACATGAACATGGAGTGTAGAGTCCATGCCCAACCTTATTGATGCCTAAACGTCTATAAATAGCAGAAAATCAAATTGTATCTAATCATCTTATAACTCGGCTGTCAAACAGATGCTACTCTGAACTCACTGGTCAGTGGTCACTGCTCATAAAACATGCCACTCATGAAAATACCGTACTAATCATGTCATTGGATAATCGATAATAGTAATCAGAAATAGATTGTGAAGTTTTAATTACCACATAGAAGTTTACCTATAAATAGCTGTTTCAGTCTTGTTAGAAATTATGTAGTATTTTTTGTGTATAGGTACAGTAGATTAGCTATTTCTAATGAAGGCTACCAAAATTCAAAATTATTGCTGTGGTATATTGAGAGTAATGATGGCAGTCAGGCAATGTAGTTCTATGGTATAATGGTAATAGTTCTATATGTTTTGATAGATTAAACCAACTCCTTAAAGTACTGTTCACACAGTTTTAGATGTAGAACAGACTCAAGTCACTCAACAGAGGGATAACTGCAATGAGTTTATTCACAAGATTCCAACTTCCAAGGTTAATCCCTAATGCTAGATTCCAGTATTAATCCTCACTGTTGATTACAATTTCAATCCTTAGTTTCTTCTTTATGATCAAATTATTGTCTTTATATGTTCCCATGTTAGCTTTGAAATATTTAGTTGAATTTAAATTTTAAATATTTGTTTTGATTAAGATTTAGTAGCATTCTCATTTTACATAGGAAGTTGACATGCTCATGATGTTACTAATAATTGCATAATCAATTTGGTTTCTTAGGACACCATTTGAAACGCAGCACTGTATGCAGTACTGTACTGGTAGATGTTTTCTCTCCAAAACTGTAACTTCCCTCTCCAGTCCCCCTCCTTTAGGATTCCATTAGGATTTAGGATCCATTTTAGGATTTCATAATAGTTTTATATTTCTTGCAGAACATGGTCTATATGACACTTATGGCTCTCATCTGCTGGACATTGGTGATGAGTTTTTTTTACATAATTTGGTCCCAAATTTTAACATGCTCACAATGTATATATATAATACCACATAGACCATTCTTGACGTTGTAGGTTTTAATTGCTCTCAAGTGAGCTAATTTATTCTACCATTATTTTTGAATTTCCTGAACCCTCAATAAATCAGGTCTCCAAAATTTTTTTGTAGATACTAATAAGAAATTTCTTAGCCTTTTCTGTGCTTAAAAATTTATGGTTCATGTATTAAGCAAACAATTAAATAATTTGTATAATAAATTAATTTGAGTTCAGCCTATTCTCATTTTAATCACTGCGCTTGTAGAATGCACATAGGATCATTTCCCAATCTCAAATTATTCCAAAATAATTCTGACAAGTAGGTTCTGTTCAGAATTTGGTTGCTCTAGAATTGAAATAATCATGTGTGATGGTATTCATCTTTTAAATATAGTTTTGCAGGTAAATTTTTTATTTGCTTTTTATGTTACAATTAGAACTTTAGAAGTGTTACTGCCTGATTCTATTAAATAATTCCCACCAGAAAAATGATGTTGAATCCAATATTTTCTTGAATCAACATAGATTAAACATTTTTTCAACATTATTTACTTAGTTGGTAACTATTAAATTGAAGTACTGTATAGGGTTGTAAATTGCATGTGTACGGTATATTCTTTTTTTAAATTCTTAATAATTTTTTTCCAAAAGGGCTGAGCAGAATGAATGTACAAGCTCTCTGCAATGTGTGTGAGAACACATTCAATAGTACCAATCACAAGCCTCTACTCTTGCAGTGTGGTCATACTTATTGCCTAGCCTGCCTTGAAGACATTGAGGCTTCGGGCAAAAAACTTTGCCCATCATGCAGAGAAGAATGGCGAGGCGAATCATACGAGCTACCAATTTGCTACATGCTGATACCTGGTGAAAACTTGGTGCCTAAAGCTGCTGGTGATGCTACTGGCAACAAAGTTGACTATAACACGTGCTTGTTGCACTCATGCACCATAGAACACTGGTGCTGCAAGTGTCAAGTTGCCACCTGCAAGAAGTGCATTTCTGAGATGCATTATGCTCATGGACAGGTTTCTTTTGACAATGTTGTTGGTCAAGAAATTGACATAGAACAAATAAAGCAATCATTTAATGGAAACCTAGGGAACAAGTTTAAAGAAGGCCTGAAAAGTTCACTCACCCTGTGCAATGAAGGAATTGAATTAATGGAGTCAATGAAAGAAATTGAGACTAAGCTATTGGCATGGAAGAAACATCTCCTGGCTCAAGAAAAGAATTTGTCAGCTTGTATGGAGCATGTAGAAAACACAAGTGAGGCAGCATTGAAAGCAAAGTTTGATTCCTTCTTGAAAACAATGTCATGGTGTGATGTGGAAAAAGCAAGTCTTTTGTCAAAATTCCAATTGCCTGCAATGAAAGTGGATGCCTTCAACGGAGAACTTCGGGTAATTATTAATTTATTGACGTTGTAATATTAGAACCTTTATTCTTTTTTTATTTATTTTCATTGAATCAAATCATTTAATTGGATTTGGTGTCATTTTTGAAGTTCATCCACAATGCTATGAGAGCAGGCACATACATAGATTGTAAAGTCTTTAAAATTTGCACATTGACAACTAGCTTGAAAATATATCTGAAATTTGAACTTTGTTTCTTACACTATTATTCACATGACACTCTATGTTCAAGTTGCTACATGATCTTATTCTACATGTTTCTTATGGATATAATTCAAGTAGAGGGTCCTGCACTGATGAGTAAATAACAACAAAAATCAGTGAATACTATGTGACACTTTTATTTTGATTACTTGAATTTATTCTAACACTCCTAAGAATTATCCAAGAGATTTTTATTTGTCTAACATGTACGTAGCCATTGTCATTGGACAACCATTTCTTACATCATGCCATTGTATGTTAGGCTCTAGTCTAACATCCAGTATTTGAAGCTAATTGTTTTGCTGAAGTAGTGTTTAACTGCTGGTTTTTCTTCATGATTAATATTATTAAAATATTTTCATAGTCATTAAATGAAGATCTGGAAGCTGAGAAGCAAAACCTGCTGCCAGAAGAGTTCCAGGCATTGTCAAAAGATATTGTCGTTAAAGGAGAAAGTATGAGCAAGAAAATTGTGCGAGCACGGCCAATTCTTGCAGCACGTGAAGAGGCCACAGTTACAGTGGTATCCTCCGTGCAAGACCCCATCATTAGCCTGCAGGAACTTCTCTTATACTTGATGAATGGTCGCACTGTTATACACCTCCAGCTGTTGGATACTTTTTTCAATGGCAACAGAAGCAGTGCAGATGATTCCATAAGACTGAAACATTTCTTATGCAGAAACTTTGGGTACGTGTAAAACCAGTTTATTGCCAATTAAATTCTATCTGATAATGTTTTTAGTCACTCTGTTAGTGTGCATCTGAAGACTGTTAACCCTAAAGTGAAATGAAATGGCTGGTGGTTGAATGCATGTCCATCACATTGTCAGCATCTCTTCATATTGATGCAACCCATTGAAATTACTGTCCACATTAAACCAAAATAACTAAAATGAATTTCTCACAGGTTGCATCTAGCATCATTCTATGGTCACCTCACATACGCCGCATGGGTCATGTTTGATGTTGTTGGACTACCGAAGCTTGGGCTGCATCTCCAGTCTGGAGCTGACGTGGCTGATGTCAACAAGATCCTGAATGACAACTGCGGTGCTGGGAACGTTGCTACCGGTAGGTTCAATAGGTAGTAGAGTGAATAACTTCTATGTTTTAAATGCAAAGTTATCAGTTTAGTGGACCATCCAACTCAATTCAATAAAAAATCATTGATTTATACTATTTAAAACTGCAATTCTCTAGACCATCCCGTTCCCATTATAGCATGTGATTCAACCAAAAGTTTTATTTAAAATATTCATATTTCCTCGAATTGGCTGTCGTACACAAAAATAATTGAATTAACTGTTAAAACAGCTATGCACATTCTGGTGGTATATATTGTTTGTTCCATGTTGTTGCTATGTCAACTGCTGAATTGGTCTAGTAATGGTGTGAATAAAAGATGTAAAATGTAAATTATGTTTATTTGCATTTAAAGACATATGACATTCCAAGAAAACAAATAAATAATGATAATTATTATATAGATAATTCTACTGTAAGTTGCAGTGTAATTGAATGTATTTTTTAGGGAGCAGATTCTGAGTTAGGGAATGAGAAGCACAGGCAGGCGATAGCTCACAAGGTCAACAGGCCGCTGAAAAATATAAAATAAACTTTACCGCAGTAACATTAGAATCCTTTTATGGTATGCTTATTATAATCTATTGTGGTAAGACTTCAATAAATAGTAATTAGGAGCCAAGATATTAGAATGAAATTTCAACTGAAAAATGTAAGCGAATACTATTGAAGGGAAGTCCATAGAAAGAAGTCCAACGAGAGTTTAATGATTTAAATTAGTAATTGAATAATGCCAAGGAATCATGAAATAGTATTTAAGCTGTGGGAAGTAACAGAATCAACTAGATGTCAACAAAATGCTAAGAAGAGCCCCACTCACCAAACAGTAATATCACAGAGAGAAACTGTGTTCAATACTGGCCGATATATCTTGGCAGCATATTAAGTATAAATTGGACTTGCTTGGAATTGGGTTATTAGATCTGTTCTGAAATGATATTGAACAAGAATAATTTCATTAAGCACCTGAACTCAAGTATTCATACAGATGGTTTGACTGGAAAAAAACTTCAATGCTTTCGAGCAACAATATAATATTCCTTTTGTTTTCTTTTTCATTTTTAGGATTAAAGTATTTTCTTACACTTTTATCACCTTAGATCTTGAATGTAATCATTTCAGAAATATTTGTACTCATTGGTACAATAAATAAATCGAAATTAAACTTTAAGTTTGTGAGGAATTCCAATTGCCTCTCATAATCGGACAGCCAAAGAAAGAAACCAATGGGCCAAATTAAACCAAGTGAGAAGTTATAAAACAAGAACCCTGCTTGCGCATCCGCCTCATTTAGTTGTGCGCGTCCATGCCGAGCTGTGCAATGTCCTGGGGCCTGACTGTGATTTTAGAGTTCTAGCTTCCACGACCGGGGTTTCTTACCTACGAATTTTAGAATTCTTGTATATTTTTAAACAAAAACCTAGTTTAAATGTCGCCTTCAGCTTCTATTCCCTTTGAAATTTTAGTTAGATAGGCACTTCATGCTTATTTGTTGTTTCTTTTGTCAATTTAGGTTTTTATCTTCAATGTTAATTTTAATTTTCTAAGTTCAAATCTGCTTGTCAAATAGGATTTTCAACTGACGACGGAGCTGGACTCTGAAACGTTTTCTCAGAAAAATAAATGGTATATTTTCTCTGCTTTTAAATTCTCGTTTGAACATTTTTTTAGTCTCGAGTACTCGCCTACCGTTCCGTTGTTAACTGATTTCATAAACTTTAGGTTTATCACCTTCCTGGAAGCCAAAAATTACCACTGGAACGCATCAAAATCTTGAGGTTCCAATATTCATCATTCAGTCATATTTTTCCGCTACATATGAATAAGAACTGTACTCAGCAAATCTTGATGGCAGGATTAACATCAGTTATCTATAAACATTAATTTTCTGTATTGCAGTCATTTACATTGAGGAGGCTGCAAATCAGAATTATTCAAGACCGTTTTTTCTAGTTGGATAGCATTAATCATATCAAGACCTTGACATATACTGTGGTATTTAATTATATGGATTCTAGCTGCATTTTATGACTAAGAAATGCAATGCCGCAAGGAGCAAATCACATGATGCTCAAATTTGAACACTGCTCAGCATTGACGCGCACTGCTGAAGGAGGCGGATGCGTAAGCAGGGTTTTAGTTAAATAACTTCTCCCTTACTACGTAAAAAATGTCGAATGATAATTTGGGGTTTGACTAATATGGTCGTAAACACGGTATCAGGATCCAAAGTAGGTTCAAAAAACCATGCTCACTAAAAGGTTTGACATTTGATTCAAGCAATTCAAAAGATTTACGGATTTGATAGATTAATTTATGTGTATACGTAACCTAAAGATAGTGAAATAGCACACAGGAAGCTGCAGCGGTGACTGAAGTTGATGCTGAATTACTACCTCTCTTCTAAAATGCTGGTCTTAAAATGAGACTTTAGATTGGCAGAGTGACTGAACGCTCGTCAATGCTTGAATGAACACTGGCTATAACTGAACTGACTGGCAACTTAAACTACCGCGTTGAACTCGACTTATTGAATACAACGTGATATAATATAACTAATGACGAACACAATGTATTTTATAAGCAACACAAAAATTGATTGTTGATAATTCGCCACACGTTGTGATAATGAAAGTAATTTGCTTACAGTTCCAGGCAAACAGTCAACTGTCGGTGGAACCTCGGTTCTGATGTGTAGAGAGCCGTTCATAGCAGGTCAGTTCTTAACTGCAGTCAATAAAAATAATTCAAAATGATTTTAAGGTTCTAATTCATTAAGATTTTATAATTGAATGATTATTCGCAACCCTCATTGCTTGCAAGTCCCCCATTTTTAGATTCAGGTGGGCGTCTACAATGTACAGAGTTTCCTGGAAAATTTCAAAACATGAGATTCTAGGACCAATGGAAAGCAAAACTACATGAAAAAATGTATCAATTTCCTTACCACCTCCAACATCATGCACATATTTCTTTCCATGATATGTGATTGAGAAACGGTTCTTATCAGTTGAATTTCCTAATTACCTACATATTCGCAGTCGTTTCACGTAGGAAATATGTCAATTATTTCCAAGTATCGGTGCATGAGTGTGAGACTTTTTTTATCCCGCTATTACACATTGTTTTCATTTGCTTGCCATTTTCGTTCGAATTGAAGGGAAATCATTTAATATGGAATGAGAAAAGAAGTATTCACATTACAATTTACGCATTTTCAAAATTTAAATGTATTTCGTTCAACCTATAAATGGGGGAATATATTCATAACATTATATGATGAGTCGGCGTTGAAGAAATAAGCCCGTGGCCTGTCGCCGATCCTTGCACCTGACATGACGTGTTCTCAAGAGATTTAAAATTGGCCTTTTGACCACATCTCTATAAATAATGCCAATACAGATATTGCCATCAACAAAAGCATCTATGAGGACGATATCGTGGCGTGCCTAGAGCCGAAGACTAACAGGCTGTACCGACTGCACTTGGGGAAACTGGAAGATAGTGACTGGAGCAGATGCAGCCGCGTGGTCAAACGTTTGCTCCCAGGAACTGGGAGCAAGTTTGCACAAGTTTGTCCCAGGGGAGTTTTTGGGAAAAACTGGGAGTTTTTACACAAGTTTGTCCCAGCAACTGGGAGCAAGTCACGCGGTGGTAAAGTCACGCGGTGAGTTACGTACATGTTATGTAAAGCAATGTTTTCTGAAGCTGCACGATAACAGTTCCATGCTTCCGGTTATAATTTTCACTCTATATTATAATCCGATATATATTTCACTATATTCACAGCTAATTCTGTCGATGTGAAATGTAAAAATGTACCGAAAGCAGTAAGTCTTCATTCGCACTTCATATCAACTGCTTTACGGAGAAATAATTAATAAAGTTCTTCATAATGACATTTTTTAATGTGCTCTGAGCAAGGTAGGAAATGCTACTGAAGAAATCATTTCGGCGCAAATTACTGGGATTGTTTTTCACGTGATTTTTTGTACAATTTTGCGATGAACGATTTTGCACAAGTTTATCCTTGTGTCATACATGTAATATCACATGATCAAAAAAAAAAAAATCGTTAACACCGGCTGTATGTGTGTTTTTATTGAAGGACGTTCAGCTGTCATTTCAATATCCATTTTTAAAATTATATATATAAATTATGACGGCATTTCTTGTCTCAGGGACCACGAACTTTGGATACACGATGGCAGTGGCTTATCAGCAAGCGTCACGGAGCAAGTTGCGAGGTATTTGTACGATTACACGAGTATTGGCATACTGAGAATGAATAATCAATCAAGCGAGGAAGCCCAACAACAGCTGACTGCCCAATGCTCTGGTTGTGCCACCTTACATTTCAACATTCCATCTTTTTAAAGTTTTCTGTCAACCGCTGGCAAATCTGAATGTTAAGTAAGTACGTACAGTATTTAACGAAACATAAATTTGCACTTCTGCTACGAACATGATAACGTAATAAATATATTTTGCTGTACACCACACCGCATGAACGGAGAATGCCAGCCATGATTGGCTCGCTAAAATTTTCAATACGCGGTAAAGTAATCAATACGTTGTAATAATTACTTTATTGAAGTCAATAATTTCAATACGATGTTAAATTTTCAGTCCGAACGTTTGGAAGAGCCATCAGAAAAAAAGTCGAAATTAAATTTGGCTTAGTTTCATATTAATGTTTTGGTATGGCATGTGCGGTGAAGACATCCTGGTCTGGATTTTCGGAGGAACGCGTATCCCATTCCTCCAATGTATTTACGGACTTCATTTCTAATAGATGTATGAAATAGGTCCTAGATGAACTACATAATTTGAGCGTGAATTGTAATTAGAATTTTTAAAAACTTTATTCATTCGTTCAAATTCTATTCGGATGAAAAGGATACGGGAATTCCCCTTTACGAGTAATGGGATGAATTGAGAGCAGAACTATTCACTTCCTATCAATATGGCATTTTAAAACAGTTTTCAAGCGGTACGTTTCCATTAAGATAGATTTATCATCTTCCATTTTAATGGGGATTTTTGATTAAATTCATAAATTTAGGTAAAGCTTAATATTGCATATTTCGTGAGAATTTCTCGCAGAAAATTCTTTTTTAGAAATCTTCGGCATTAATAAATTGTTTTATGTGTGGTATCAATATTACGGAATTGCGATGCATCCAGAAGTTTTTCATTTTCAACTGTGACTTTAACAGGATACGTTCACATGTATCAAACATTTAATCAAAACACGTTTTTCTATTGTCAAGCGTTATGCGATGAATCCGTATCTAAGTTTGATCAAACTGGATGATTTTAGTTTGTTTCTAAGTAAAGGCATTTGTTCCTAGAATCTTTGTAACCAATCGCTCTCAGTTCTTGTTTCGTGACTAAATGGATATTTTGGTGTCAGCCATTTATTAATATTCTAAATACGAGTTATGATTCATTACTTATTTTTATTTTCAGATTTGATTGTTTTGCTTTTCAACGTTCTGTTTTTATGTGATTTTCGGTTATAAGTACACATTCAGACTACAATCATCTTTTCATTTATATTCTTGTTGACTTATTCAATTAAGTTACCCGTTGAAACTTTTTTAAATGTAAATGTTGAATTCCATCATATATGGCAGATTGTTGCACGTACAGCTGAATAAGCCATTTAATAATTCGTAAATTTATGCACTGAAAGAGAATCAAATTGGATTCATTAACAAATTCGATAAAATTAGAATAGAGGAATAGACTGGATTCCTTTCTAAAGATATTCCTGGCGGTGCAGTGTCTTGGCATTTACCTGTTATTCCAGTTTCTCGTGTTTAGGTAAAGAACGCCAAAATCAAGTTAAATGTTAAATTGACTATACTGATCTCTGTGTGCGATGGATTTCTGCAACGACACGAGTGACGCCGCCTGGCAAGCATGTACGGTAACCCCCTAGCCTGGCTAAAGCCTTACATGCTCTACCTAAGATGAGCATACCCATCTGTGTACGAGTCTATGCAGCTGGTACGTGCTGAACGTACGAGAAACATTCCAAATTCTGGGGTGTGGTTCCCGCATTTCTTGCTCACTTGCAATAATTTATTATTAAAACACCAAATACGAAGAAATATAATCCCTTAGTTTCTTGAATGAATTGAAACCATTAAAATATTGGTATCTTAATTTTGTGAACATGCACAGCTATTCTTGCGCAATGTTATAATGTTTGACCGGCAACTCGAAAAATTTGTCTAAACTAATCATTTTCATCGACTGTCACACTGATAAGTACGCGTTTCATTAGTTCAACCATGGTTTCTATGAAGAACTAGCGTCTCTTCAATATGTTTTATTAGTTCAACCATGGATAAGTGTTTCTAAGAACAACTAGCGTCTCTTCAATATGTTTTATTAGTTCAAACATGGATAAGTGTTTCTAAGAAGAACTAGCGTCACTTCAATATATTTTATTAGTTCAACCATGGATAAGTGTTTCTAAGAACAACTAACGTCCCTTCAATATGTTTTATTAGTTCAACCATGGATAAGTGTTTCTAAGAATCACTAGCGTCTCTTCAATATTCGTGTGATTTCTACATGGCCTAGCTGGGCAGAATTTTCACAAAAACCATGAGGCTGCTATATGTCACTTCCACATGTGGCCAATATTGTTACGCCCCCTTGGGCCAACATGGGCCCCTTCCAAAATTGTTACTAGGGATATATGCTACCAGGTCTGGTTGATTATGTTAACAAATAACCGAACTATAGATGTTGCGGGCAAAAGGTTGTAAGTGAAATAAGGTGGCAGGGCGTGTAATGTAAGGAATATTTCTCTTCCGGGCGGGAGGAAATTTAGGTTCAAGCATTACAGCGAAGAAGTACTATTGGCTTATGCGACCTTTAGCACTTGTAGACGGAAATGGATATCCACTTTGGAGACCAAAAGTTAATTGGTCGTGTGGAATTTTTCACAATTTTCATGAAATAAAGTTATCTTGCATCGCATGCTTTTAATTGTGAAGCGACAACCGTTTCTGTTCATTAAACACGTTTGTACCAAAATTTAGATACGAGTTGATTGTTATGTTGCTAAGATGTGAGTTTTATCTACAAAACAAATATCGAGATACAATTCAAATTATGAGAATAATTATAGTTCATTACTTTAATGTTCCTTGGGAGCCTGCCAACGAGCTAACTCAATTTGCCCCTCCTTGGAAGGGAACCACGCTTGCGGTAGTCAGTATGGCAACAGGTAAACGCTGCTGTCTCCGCGGAACACGGCGCATACAGAGAGATGAATTTTACGCCCTTAAGTTTGTATTAACAGCTTTTATTTCTTGAGAGTAAATTTGCATGTTGTGGTGCACAGTTACGAGTCAGAACGGACTATCTAGTAATCTCGGCCGGGAAATGGTCGCTGTATTTCCGGTAGAAATGTCACTGCTGTTATCATATGGATGATATGGGAATAACACTAAAATAATAATATTTTAGGTGGGTAGTAACAATATAATATTATAACAACGCCAGTTAAAATATATCAAACGTAGATTCGATTGACATTATCCAAGCGACGGGACGCGAGAAAAGGAGCCCTTGGTGACAGGAGCCCAGCGATGAACGCGAGGGCTCTGGAGGGGCGCCATGTTGACCTTTTCGCGCCGCATCAAGCGCCTCGCTCGCGAGCTCAAAGCTTGCGACAGCGAGGAGAGTGGTTCGCCATTTTGTGGCTAACTTAAGTACTTTAGTAATACAATATGTTGAGTTAAAATATACCCATCCCAATATCAAAATTACCATTATTAATACATATTCCTCATTCTGCTCGCCGGCGCTCGCAGGCCATCACTATAGCTGCACTCAACCCACTCACCCGCCTGCATAACGAGGCAAATGACTTACGTACGAACCAAACACAAAGTATGAATCGCTGCTAAGACCATTGAGCAACTTGTTAGCAGTAATAAATAAAATGACAATCCATATTTCTAGCCTTGAGTAGATCAGTACCTTGCAATCAAGATTATCTTCATCACCATCGATATCATCGACATACATGACATAGTCACTACCATCAGGATATAAAAAACTATCCAAACAAAGCAATTGTATTCTAAAATTATCGGTACATTCAAAAGAAGCATAAAATGAACGTTATATACAAAACACACTGCTCGAAATACATCAAAAACATTTGATGTATTTTACAAAAGCAAGACTTTGGTACAACTCTTCTACGATGAGGATATTAGAACTTTGTTTAGACTCAACTGCTATGGAGCTGATAGAAACGAAAAAGGAAAAAAAATCCTCACGGCCAAGACGACAGCATCGCATGATCTGGGAACGTCAACGAAAAATTCTCATTAAGAGAGTTCACACTTAATTAACCAGCGTATGTATTTTAGAACATTCACTGGCGTTTTAAATATCAATTAATATATTTTTATATGTAAAAAAATATAATAAATATCTTAAATTAAATTCTTAATATCACCATGTCAGTTGAATGTGCGAAACCAGCATTACAAATTCAATTCTACAATTGAAAACTTCCAGCTAATGATGATTAAAAGTTTCTCTTTTATATCGTCACACTAAACCTAGGGACGAAGCAAACTAATTACCAGATTCGAGATACACAAAAAAATTAAGCACGAGAATCACCTTGCTCAATTTCCGGCAGCAAAGTTTTTGGCCGAGCGCAATTTTTCGTCCCCTCTTGTTAGTTAATTTGTCTCATATCTGGTCACCTCATCCAATTCTTCTTTTCCTTCATTCAAATTCAAATGAGCGCTAAAAACAATCTAGGCTCACACAAAGAACCAGTTACACTTGAAGGTTAGCCCAATGCAAGGACAACATAAATAGTAACACCGTTCTCTGAATGCTTGTATATCCTCACATCTTTTAAAATGTTATTTCGTGTAGGAAATTTTCTGATTTTAGGTAACAGTTGAAAAACTCCAAATAATAATGTAATAACGCAATTCGTTGTATTCAAGATCAGAATATTTGTTACTTGTTACCTCGCGCCTCACAAAGTTCACTCACGTACCTTGACCTCTTCCATTCTAAGCAAAAGACGAACGAACAATAATTGTGACTACATGGCCGTGTGGTCAACATTTTCTTTCATTAATAACCGAGAACTGTCCCAGCATGGCAGGCATCCTTGAGCCCCAACTACTTCGCACACTCCCGTTCATTGGGTGTAAGTCATGGTGAGAAGGTTGCGGGAGGATCTTCGCAGAGGCGGAGTCGTCTTTTGTGTGCCCTGTAGACAGAAAATGCAAGCCATTTGAGCAATTTCGATACCCGCAAGACACAAACGAAAAACAGTACATCCTTCGTACAGTCTGATTCCCTACCCCACCGCGCCCTTTAGTCAGATTACTCACCCTCCTAAAAAGCGTCGCTGCAAATACCTCACACAGCTTCGTAACATTCTTGTGGAAGCCTGTCCGAGTCCCAAAATGCTTACACTAAAGCCTCTCTGAATAAAAACGTCTCCTTCCAAAGCTCAATCTATCTAGTGCAATCCAAATCCAAAGCGTCAACTCCAAAATATTTCTGCCTAAGACCTCAAAGGATAAACTTTACATATCACTGCCTTAGTTATCCCCACCCAAACCCAATCAAAACTACATTATCTTGTACCAAAGTTTTCTATCGCTCACATTGACTGCACTTAAATCGAGCTTTGTCTGATAAAGAACCTTTCTCCCAAAGAAGCTTTCTTCCCTATAAAAAATTCGAGGTTTCTCAGCGCCATATCTCTCGAAAAAGCTCTGTTGGCTACACAGCGGCTTGTACGTTACCACCCTGGGAACCACTCTCCTGGAAACATCAATAGACTTCAGTTCAATTGTGTAGAGATAAACTTACCCACCGAATGGCCGTCCTACTATTGATCAGTGATTACGCTAGGAAATCAAATTCTACAACGGTTTTCAACATCCAGCTTCTGTAGTCTCGAGTGACTCGCAGTTCCTACGTCGCTCCTGATCATCTCTGATATTTTTAAATCTGATAAATATTTGCTACACGGAAAAGGGTAGTATGTGAATAGAGGGAGCTTGCATCATCCTCCCCTATCGACATACCACTGAAAAGTGGAAGTTGTGCGAATAATGAATTCATATTAAGTCTCGCACTCTTATTCCCCGCCGCCTTATTCTCATCAGACCCAATCTCAACTTCTCAACCAATTGGGAAGCCAGTTATACATTTTTTTCATTTCCATCTGTTACTTTATTTTCTTTCTCCTATTTCTGGCCACTTTGTTTTACGTGATGGTCGGATCAATGAACGCACTTGCGCACTTGCTTAGGTGCTAAATTCTGTATGTTTTTATGAAAGACAATCAAATCGCTTAATACAGTAAATATGGAATCTTCGTGTAGAAGTAATGGCCTAAAATTTCCTGCAAATATGTATACTTTTGAGAGTTTGGTGATGTCGACAATTGGTGATTGTCTAAAATGTTAAGAAGTATGGAATAATTTAAAATTCTAAGAGTAAATGAAATGAATCAGAATGAATGCCCTGGATTATGAGTGGCTAATTTGATATTTAAGTAAATTTAAGTACGTACCTGCCCACGATAAAAATATCCTGAAACCAAATGAAAAAAGAATGCGTTCAATGGACATTAAAATGGTAAATTTTAGAGAAAATACTTGTAGGGTTACCCGTTCTTCAACGCATAAAATTAGTCATCGGAATTATACGAGATTCAACGGCAGGCAAAATGAGTGTGACATCGTTGTCCCATCGTTATCTTTGAAAGATATGTCCACAACCTGAAATTTGTTTCCAAGAGTATAGTTCTAGGCTGGTGAGACTTCCATCCCACCTTTGAATAAAACCTTATAAACTCTGAAAAAACTGAACTCCTACATATAATGCCAGAATTTTCCAAACTTTGGTAAATCACCCCTTAGGATTACTTGTCCACTTTCGAGGGTAATGTAGTGGTAAAACAAAGAGTAAAATATTTAAATCCGTCATATGATCAATTTCAATGATAACATGGAATGGGTGATAAGATAAGTTGGGCATTCCTCCATCCATACCCGTGGGGCTCGGTGCGAGTGGCGCCTGCATCGTTCGTCCTGATGTTCCTCTCGTGTAGCAGCATCAGCAACAGTCGCTCCTCCTCCTCGCTTAGCGCAGACTGGAGCAGTTCAATTCCCAAAAACCTATGATAAGAAATAAAATGAATGCTAATAAAATGATACTAGAACAACATACCAAATGCCGAAAAGGAATGAAAATCAAAAACTCTCTGTGGCGAAAAATGTAATTAGGGAATGTCGGATATTTTTAAACCCGCAAAATGCAGCCGGAAAGAAAAATTAAGATTTGTGTAAATCTTATCGAACATGAAATGAATTTAGAACACTCGAATCAAAACCCTTAGAACGTAACCTCACCCGTGGCAGCAGGACGTATAGGCTCCATTTATCATACTGGAGGGACACAGTCCCTTGGCACGAAAGATACAAGGATGACGAATAGCCTAGAAAAGTGTAAGGGTGATGGTCTAAAATGGAAGTATGGAACGATTGGAAACTCTGAGAGTAAAAAAATTAATCTGAATGATTACCCTGAATTTTGTGTGAGCAATTTTATATATGGGATTGCAACCGGATTCGAGGATAAATTCGCAGCCAAGAACAGGAATGCTCACAGAAGAACAGGAGTCACGTTTGAAATTTAGAGTATCGAACAGACTTCGCTCCGGTTACAAAAACAGGCTATCTTTACTGTGCCAACTAATCATGACAGTCAAGATTAAGGTTCAACAACTGGTTAATGAACCATACGTTCCAGGAAAGATGTGTCCGTATACTACTCATCTTCAGTCATGATAGGAGAGCGGCCAAAAGTCGGTCGCATAGATTAGGAAAAAAATAAAACAATTTCACATCATTAACATGGCTAACTTGCTTCGGACATGAATACAACAATATTGTCAATATCCCTTTATCAATTGCATTTGGCCTTTGAGACTGGTCTACTATATTTAAGTACCTTTTAGTTACAATACATTAAAAAACGTTGGCGCACAGTTTTTCAATCAAATTTATTTAGGACACATTTCGTTCGTTTGACAGCTCATAAAGCATCTTATAATTTATGGTGCGGAGAGCTTAAGAATTTATCGCGATGTTTGCCACTTCTTCAGGTAAATTTTTCGGGATAATCCTGCCGGAGGGCCTCGTCAAGGTCCGTCACATATTGGTTCAGAGTTTCATGCCTGCTCATCTTCAGTGCCTTGAATTACGATAACTTTGAATTTCCAAGCTCGGCGGGCTGCTCATATTTTTCATAAAATGTAGAACTGTCAGATGACGAATGACCTGCAGGTATACCTTATCCGATACCAGGCTCATTATCGATGGCAGGAACGGGTAATACTTTCCATGGGTTTGGGTTTCATTAGTCTCATTTAGAACTTTCGAGGCCGCTGCTTCGCTAGAAGGTAACTCTTATAATGAAGAACTCGCAGGCTAGAGCGTGGGTTAGTATAGGTTTACATAAATGTGTCACCGTCTCCCGGTCCGGGAACTACTGCTGCCGCAACATCTTTTTCTTATGAAAAATTACCATAAATATCATATACATGTTGTTCCGGGCCATTAGACGAAAGCTTCCCAACATTTGTATAAAGAAGCGCTTTTTCAGAATGACTGGCGCAGCAGCAAGCCTTCATCAGAAATAGCGAAATTCAATGTATTTAGCACATGAACTCTGCGGTATTAACGCTGGTAGATACAATTAGCCACAAAGGACAATCAGATTGAATATGACATCTAGCAGAGCAATTTGTCCATGATTTTCTATTAGATTAAATGAACATCATAATACACTGTCTCTTCATTAAAAAAAATTCTTTTTGACGGAGAAGTGTAAAATGACGAAATCTGAGTTGCGGCATCTGTAGCTATACTATGGTTGCGCACTTAACTCCAGACAATGCTTAAAGCAGCAAGTCTCTAATCATGTCTCCAGGCTACACATTGCAAGGTTGATATAGACATTCTGGCACTAATTGTAAATACGGAGAAAGCTTCTACAGTTTATATAACCTTTAGCGCTTACTGAAATTCATAAAGTATTAAACAACAGAAATCTACTTGTCCATCGAATACATGCCGCGACAGGCAGACCAAATACGCAGCGGGACGAATGCACTACCTTAACTGCGCTACCTTAAACAATTGAAAGTCTCTGCCAGCGGGCTCAAACGTACGTGGATGGCAATGAACATATTACAAACTTGGTTGGTGGTTGACAGTAAACAAATTACAAACCTGCAACGGACTCAAAATATATTTCATATAGGAAATGGTAATAAAAACCCGATACAGTGATGGTATGCTACGGTATAGGTGGAGAAATGGCGAACAGTCTTAACACCTTGGCAATGATAACAGTTCAGAGTTGAGCCCCGATAATGATTAAGAAACCAGACGTCCAAAGAAATTCATGTGCGAAACTTTGTATCATCGGTCATGTTCGAAGAAGTGCGGCGGCTAATATCTAATATAGCGCGGCCAAAAGTTGGCTCGCTACTCTGTGAGTTGCACTGGCAGAAAAGACAATCAAATAACGGTCTTCCCCAAGACCGGCTTTCTGCTGATATTGTTGGTATCCGCTGCATTCCTCCACCAAGCATTTTCGCAACAACTTCATCCTTAGAAGTGGTAATTGTCAGAATAATTTAAAGTTTTTTCACATGAACACTGACTATGAAAACTTTCATTCCAACCGCATATACGTATAATATAAAATTTGTCAATATTAATGTTCGTGTATATTTAATAATGAATTTTAATTTTGTTACTAACTTCTTGCATCTTGGTGAGTAAACCAGCACCGTCTTGGCCACGTCCTCCCAGGTGCCAGCACCGGGGCTGAGAACCTGCAGCACAGGAAGAGGCAGCGCAGGTAGAGGCGCTGCTGCAACAGCCGTGTGAAGTACGGGCGTGCAAACGCCTGTTGGGAATACGGAATTAAATTACTTTATCAATCTATATTTCACAACATGTGTGCACTGTGAGCGAGGGAAATAAACTGAACTCTGCCTTATTCTATCATGTTCGTATGTCCATAGTGAGGAGAAACTAAACTAGAAATGCATCGTAAGGCTGGTCTAGACGCTATGCTTTGAACAACCTAGTGTCTGCACAGTACAACACTTCGCAGATAGAAAGTTGCCTGCGTAGTTTTGAGCCCATCGAGAAGACGGTACAGTTGCAGCGATAACGGAGATAGAAAGCATAGATCTCCTTGAACTTGTGGAGAAATCGGCGCATGTCAACGGTGGCACAGTTTCCGACTTATCTGCAGGTATTACTTTTTAAGCGATTTTAAAATTGCTTCATCGATTTTGGAAATTATTTCCTTAACAATTGTTTTGGTATAATTATTGTGTATTCTTGGTATAATTATTGTGTATTCTTGTGTAAAACTGCTGTCATTGCCAGAAGTCTTAAAATTGCGGTTAGCCTTTTATGTGGTGATGTTGCGGTTCTCATACGGAATTTTCTTTGATAATATGCGGTGTTACTTATTCAATAAATAAGTATAAGCGTCTTTTTCCGTTCTCAAGTAGTCACGCCAATCATTAGGTTCATCACGTAAATCACGCAGTAATCTAGTATGGATAAAGTGCAGCCTTTTGAGGAGCCATTCCTGCGACCGCCTTGAATGCTGGGTACTTGAATATCACACAAAACTGTGCAAAATATACAGATAAATCTGCACTGTGTGGACACTCTAAAAATGCAAACTTTTAATTCCGTCTTGAGAATGCGCAGGTCAAATTGTAACGCTTGGACCGCCCTTTACACTTAAGAGCATGCAAGGAAAAGTAGCGGAAAATGAAATGAAATTCATTGTCCTATAGATACGGTCACACTTTTTCCTTTTAACTATGACGTAAATAAACTGCAATGACAAGAGGTAAAGCATAATTTCGTACTTCCTTTTATCACTGGCAGGTAAATTTTTCGTAACGTCGATCTTCAGCAAATAAAACCAATGAAAATCATGTACAAATATCGGTTAAATCTCTTGTTGCTATATTTAAAATTACTTCAGGTAAAGTTATTTAGACTAGAAGAATATACTTTAGTGCTCTGGTGCTCAACTGGTTTAATAGCAAAATTATTTTCCCGCAGTATAGAGCAGCGCGAGTCATGAAGCCATTCATACAACAGGAGCTAGTCTGGCATTTTAGACATGATACGACAGGATCTTATCTTCCCCCAATAGAGGGACTGCAATGAGCAAATGGCATCAATGCGGTGACGAATCGAATATTATGAAGAGAAAAAAACTGGAATGCGAAGCATAAATGGTAAGAAGCAGAAGGAGCAGCGAGTTATTTAGGTTTTTTTAAATCTAAAGGCGTTGCGAACAATGCCATCTTAGAATCCATTTGTGATGAACTCATGATTATAATATTTATTTGAATTCCAGGCTGTTCTACAACACATCAATACATGTGATGTGTGCTGGTTTCTAACACTGAGAATACTGACGCAGTTCAGCGTATTTCCCGTGCAGTGCGCTGAGGTTGAGCGGCGCCTCGACCCTGATGTGTATGGACGCTGACGCCGCGGCCGCTGAAGCTAGCGCCGCGATGCCTGCCTCCGTCCTGATGTGCCCCTGGAAACTTTTGATCTTGGAACTGCAGGAAGTTGAGAATGTATGAGAGTTGGAAGTAAATGAGTAGGAATTATCTAAGGTCTAATTAAAGATAGAATGGGGGCGGCACATTCAAGAATTTAACGTAGAATAGGGAAATAGTAAAATGTTTCTGGTTAAAACATACAGCTACTGAATAATTCTGAGCTCTAAGTGTTATAGCGGGAATAGTTCTAGGAGTTTCATTACAATTGCATTTTTTACGAGAAAGAACTTTCTTTTTATATGAGTCAGTAAACGATTTCATGATATTTCGCGGAGGAATTTGTTTCACAAGTTCTTGCCCTCGATGTATTGCAGCAATTTGGAAGGAGAATATGTTGAATGTAAAATATTTACAGGCAACCCCTGCCTCAGTTACTTCTCGATTCCTGATGATCTTCGAACACTTCTTTTTGTATAAGGTAATATTAGAATGTTAATTTTCTTACTCTGAAATCTGAGAATACCCATTTTAATTTCCATGAAACGAAGAACCACTCATACCCTGTTTCGATATCTGAAAGAGATAGTACAGTATTTTATATAAATATTAAATGATACTTTTCAAATCGCTAGTTTAGCTTTCACTTCTTGGATTGAAAATGCAATTTATTAAACATTTTTAAATCAACCCTCGTTTAGTTGGCCTCGTAATCAATTTTCAGAGACAGATAATATCCAATACGATTTGTATTGAGGATACGCGCACGAATCAAACTTATTTTCAAGTACCTTCTCTAAACACACTAACATGTTTTGTAAAATAATATATAAATAAGGAAAAGTGACTTGTTGCGTGTCATGCCAAGGCTCTTTACAAAATCAGATACGGAAAATATTTTCAGCATATATCGAATGACTCGAATCGAATGCTAGTAAAAGCTCGAACGATATTTAGAGATATCACAGGCTAGTAACTTGAACACCGACCTCTCAAAGCTGTAATCGTTTCGAGAATGCAGCCAGAGAAAATAATTGTAAACATATGATTCACCTGCTGCAGATTAGAGGCTGCAGTACGTCATCACATGGTGTAAAATCAGGTCTCTTGTCCAGAATTTTCAGATGGATTCTTCCAGTATGATGCTTTAAAACCTGTTTCCAAGCTGGGCTTCTCAAAGCTTCTAACGAAGCCTTCACCTTGACGAGCGTGTCTTGCGCGTAAGGCAGCATCAGTGCAACCGCTTCCAGGTCCCGCCCTGCAAAAGACAACAAAAGAAAAAGCAAATAATGAATGAATCGAACATATGAACGCGCATGAACTCCCAGCATAATCACCTATTCAGCAAATCACCTGCATGTTTTGCATACAAAAAAATACACTTCAGGGTCAATGGACGCATGACACTCACTGCTCTGGATAACGAACTGCTCGTCTTCCTTCCGAGTTATTCGAGCAGCGAACTCAGCGAGCGCGGGCTCGTGAGGACGGCTCAGCAGCACCTCCCACCAGTGCCGCGCAGAGGCGCCCGCTTCTTCCATTGCCCTCCTCAGCTCCGGCCACTGGGCCTCGAAGTCCCCGGTGTCCCGGGACTGTAGCTGAGCGATGACTTGCTGCACGGCACTCGCAGTCCTGGGAATAAAGTTGTCTGGATACTCACTCGAATTGGAGAGGCTTAATTCATAATGTGTTTATTGTGTCAAAAAGTACAGTTAAAGTTTCAAAGTCATGCAAAATATTTTTATAAAAATATTACGCGAACATACAGGTGGTCTGTAAATAAAACTTTGGACTGAATTAACCCGAATGAACGACACGCATCTTCTATGATCTCTTGGCAGAAATTTTGAGAATCTTGAATCAAGGAAGTTATTTGACTCACCTGAATTTAACCGATACATTTTTTTAATTTGACCTGAAGTCTAATACACTCAGAAAACTCATCTCGTGGAAACCCAACACTTAGCAAGAAGAGTCAAGATCACACCTCACTCACCCGAAAAAAACTGCCACAAGATACTGCTGTCACACTTACCAGAAAAAGTCAGGCAGGTCGTCTGCTACAAGATCGCACCACACTTACCAGAAAAAGTCAGGCAGGTCGTCTGCCACAAGATCACATCACACTTACCAGAAATGTCAGGCAGATCGTCTGCCACAAGATCACACCACACTTACCAGAAAAAGTCAGGCGGGTCGTCTGCCACAAGATCACACAACACTTACCAGAAAAAGCCAGGACGGTCGTCTACCACAAAATCACACCACACTTACCAGAAAAAGTCAGGTAGGTCGTGTGCCACAAGATCACACCACACTTACCAGAAAAATCCAGGTAGGTCGTCTGCCACAAGATCACACCACACTTACCAGAAAAAGTCAGGCGGGTCCTCTGCCACAAGATCACACCACACTTTCGCGGCTGCCGGGCTTGGCGTCAAGTACCCAGAGTTGCGGCGGAGGATAGGCAGGCAGACGCCCCTCAGCAGCATCGGGCTCACGTGTCTCGAACCCATCGTCTTGTTTCTCTGGACACGGCGAGGACCGAGTTGACAGGAGCACGGAAGCCCAAGAATCTTCCAGTGGACGGATTTTTGCTACTGCGAATGAACAAACACCAAACTCATGTTAATGAGCTGCAGAAGAAATTGCATAACGTTGTAACAAGCCTAAAATTTGGCATTACGTCCATGCAACTCGCTCAGAACTTACGTGATCTCACCTAATATTTTTTAAGATTCAGTATAGGATGTTGGCGAAATAAGTTCAGAGGCATACCTGCACACACCTCAGCTTCCGCACTTGCAAAGAATCCCAGTTAATAATTTCTGTTAAATTCGATACCATTATTAGCCTGCAGTGTCAAAATGACGCTTTTGCATCTGTTGCATATATATTCGGAGCTACAGATGCAGTACCACTGTGCGGCTGGCTGCAAACATGTACACTACATTTTGACCTGGAAATATTTCACTGCCCTGTTGCTGTGAAATTCCTGTGGCAACAATCGACATGTTGCCGAATCCCATCTGTCTCATAAACAACCTCAACATACATGGTGGCAGTGCGAGCTAGTCGGTTAACAGCGTGACCACTTAGACGGAGCCTGGCGATAGTCGGGTTCGTTCTTTGTAGTTTATTAGAAGGAACAAGAATTTGAATATTACTTTTTATAATTTGTAGCAATTATTTTAGAGTCTAACGTATCCCAAATGAGAGTCTAACGATACCACTTGTGTAAGAGGTTGCTTTCTGTGCACCTCTTATTTGAATAGTAATTAAATAAGACCTGTGGGTTGGTCCAGTGTAGCGTGATCCGAGGATATTGAGGATTTGTATTTAAAAATATTATTATTCAGGATTGAAGTTCGGCTTACAGTTTAGGATGATCTAAGTTTATAAGTTGGAGCTTTAACATTGATGTCTTCGGCGTCCAATTGAAATACGGATATGTCTAGAGTATATCTTTTACTCTGATGTTAATTTAGGGTTACTGTCATGATTGATATGGGCAGGAGCAGGGGTATACCGACATCAGTCCTCACACACGACTGAAATTATTCGCTCGAGACAGAGTTTATATAGCTTCGCCATTTGACGTCGCAAGGGCGTGACTTGATAAACAGGGAAGGCGAACATGGATATTTTTATGAACATGTTGCAATGAAGGAGATTATCTTTCAACAAGGGAGATATAAATGTGGAAATATTCAGGGACGAATGATATTAACATTGTCACCTTGCACTTGGTATCTATTAATCAATTTGCGAATTTTTAAAATAGTTATATTGAAGTTGTTTTATGTGTAATTCATCTTTGTCTGAAGACGTCCTTTAATTCGATCGAACGGTTCCCGTTGGAGCAAGACTCCCCAGTCAAAAATCCTGGGTGTTTCGCCTACGATCACACTTGGGTAAACGGTTGCAAACACCAGTGGTGAGAAACAGGTTGAAGACAGCGGCGAGCAGGGAGATGTGTGATCACCCAATAGAGATTAAATAAAGATCAAGGTCTCGATGTTAATATTTATATTGAAATGACTGTCATAATTGCCTGCATTGAAAGGGCAATTTAGACAGGAATATTTCAGGAATATATCTTTCCTGTACTCAAGTTTTTTCGCGGTAAATAGACTAAATTTGTAGTATGATAGACAATGAACAGAAGAATTTTATGTTTTAAATTACTAATTGCTTTGTGTTTCAATCTACCATTTTCCCTAAGCGGTTAGTAATATAAATAATCGATTTTATAATATAAATAAAATTATTTTGGATGAAAGTCACCGAAATTCTGCAACTACTGAATTTTATAAGCCTAGTGAATTAGAGCAGCAACTCATCTCAAATAAGTCCTGGCATGGGTTCGCAGCTCGATCGCCGACTTCCAGGATAGTTCAACCGGAGAGTTTGAGCAGTTCGTGGCGTCTCGTGATTAATTCTTGACGATGTAATTTTTATAATCAATGCAATGTTTTACACCGATATGGAACTATACAAATGTACAGTAAAATCATTGTTTGGGCAGAAGCGTTGCAAAGTTTTATGCACATATTGATATTCCTTCTATTCAAGGGCATTAGGAAGCGCTTGAACAACAATTGAATTTAATAAATGTTAAAACATTATTCTTGCTGCTGCCAAAACAGGACTGAACAGGCCAACGACAGAAGCATGATTACCAAGCCAAGTCTGCTCAATGCTCATGCATGGCTCCTGCAGTCAATTCTCAGCCTGGCTATTGGGATAGATTCAACACGATTCGGGCCCTAATAACTCAACCCTAAGCGCAAACCTCACTACCACCCACCTTACTAGTACCCACCTAGAGCTAAAAGGTATCCCTGTAACCATTAAAGTTCCTTCAAGTGAACGGCAGAGTATCGATCACATGCTCAAATAATGTCAGCACCTACCCAAACTCTTATATTTGCCCTGTAGAGCGTTCAAGTTGAGGGGGGCAGAGAGTGAGATGGAAAGTTCAGTAGTGGCCGCCGTGGACACTGAAGCCACAGCGGAGACGCTAGCAGCACTGCTGATACTGCCCACCAACTCGGTAAGCAGACACCTGCGCGTAACAAGCGTCATTTTCAGAAACTAACAACACCACGTGTCACTGTAGGTAAAGAAGCTAGTACATGTATGGGTGAATGTCAGTACGGAAATGACCTATAAATTAATTATAGTAACTAGAACCATACTTAGCAATGAAAGCATAGTAACTGGCACTAAATATATGATTACTAACTGCAGAATGTTCTTGCAAGCGCTTTTATATGAACCAATACCTAAGGGCTGGATCAAGTTGGTTTAAAAATTGGCTAGTTTTACTCATTAGGAGATCTGTTCATTGATAAATAAACATCGTCAATGAAATTAATGTCTATTGTCCTGGTAACTAGATTTCTTGTTAGTAGACTATTATTTACGTGCTCATGAATCAATTAAATTCTTAAAAGAGAAGCGTCACTGGCCTGGAACCGTTTAGGCACTCAAGCAGATCTTCACATGGTGCTCGTGACGCCACGGAACTCTCCTCGAGGTGCAGCTCAAGTTGTCCTCGGTAGAGACTTGTCAATCCAGACCAGCTAGAGTCAGCAGCGGCCAGCTCAGCAGGCGACAATTTGATGTTGATGAGACGAGGTTGCTCTTGGGGCAACATTAGTGATACTGCTACCAAACTGCGAACTGCAGACAGAGAGATCATTGACGCCTTTGGCGATGTGATTTGAGATTTGAATTATATTGGTGAAAAAATGAAGGAGAGACCTGAACTCCATTCTTGTTTGCTATAGAACTTCTCACTTCTGGAATGCAGCATTTAAAACTAAGATCCGCAGTAATCTTAACAACGGTCTCCTACCGAGCAAAATGTCGCAAATGATCAACT